CCAAATTGGTGATATGAAGTTGATGGGACATCACGAACCTCATGAAGTTTAATGAAGACAAATGCAAAGTCCTCTATCTAGGAGTGACCAGCCCTCTGGGACAATACTGACTGGGGGCTTTGCTGACTGTCTCTACTGGACAGGCTGAGGGATCCTGGTGGCAGTAGTTAAACAGGACCCGACAGCCATTAATCTGGAGAAGACTGGGAGGGGATCTTATCAATATATATAATAATCAAGAGGAAGAAGCCAGGCTCTTCTTGGTGGTGCAGAGCAATAGGACAAGGGGCAATGGGCAGAAACTGTAACACAGGAATTCCACCTCAACATGAGGAAGTAATTCTTTACCATGAGGGTGACTGAGCACTGGAACAGGTTGCCCAGAGAAGTTGTGGAGTCTCCTTCCTTGGAGTTATTCAGAAGTTGTCTGGACACAATCCTGAATAACATGGCCTAGGGAACCCTGCAGGAGCAGAAAGTTTGGACCAGATGACCCACTGTGGTCCCTTCCACCTTGACCCTTTATGTGATCCTGTGAACACAGAAAACTGATTATCAGGAAGGGATTGGGAAGTTATTATTTCCCTTTACATTATTCCCTGCACGTGGAATACAATGCCCAGTTTGGGGGGTCTCCAGTAGAACAATCCTGATATGGAAAATTACTAGTAAAGTGGAGTGACTTCTGCCGAGAGCACTAAGATGGTCATCAGCTGGAGCACTTGCCATGTGAGAGAGGCTGTGAGCCCCACAGCTTCTTCAGCTGGAAGAAGGAGCAGTTTGCCAGTACTGAAAAGGTGCTCGCTGGGAAAACAGAGCCAGAATTTGTATTGATAGAAGGACAAAAAATTTTACCCTGAGGATAGTCAAGTCCAGAGAGGCTGTGGAATCTCCTTGCATAGAGGTTTGTGAGACCTGAGTAGACAAAGCCTCAAGCTATCTGAATTTAAGAGTAGCCCTGCTCTGAGCAGGATATTGTCCTAGATAACATCCAGAGATCCCTTCTAACCTGAATATGTCTAGGATTATGTGAAATAATATAAAATAATAAAATAATATTCAGGGTTTATTTCCTCTCAGGTAGAGCTCTTTTCAATAACAAGAGTAACCAGGAGTTCATAGGCTGAATTTTCAAGGTTTGTCGAGACAGAATCATAGAATCATTTAGTTTGGAAAAGACCTTTAAGATCATTGAGTCAAACCATTAACCCAGCACTGCCAAGTCCACCACTAAACTATGTCTCTCAGTGCCACATCTGCACATCTCTTAAATACCTCCAGGGATGGTGACAACTGATTCTCTGTCAGGAGCATAACACAACCAGACTGATAGTTACTGTAGGTGGTCCCGAGTCTGGCAAACAGATGTTTCACTGTATGCAAGTACAACTCTCCTATAAAGCACCTAGATCCAAAGAACTGATTTATGTTTGTTAATAACTTGCACTCCAGCTAGAATCTAGGATGCTTTGTTAGATCAAGTTGATCAACTTTATAGTAAAATATAGTTAAGTGGAAAATAAAAAAAAAAAACAAACCACATTGCTTTACATAGAAAACTGTTTGTTGAACCAGCACTTTACTTACCCACTTTAAGTAAACCGTGTTCTTAAGTGCTGCCACTATTCAGCTAACTCACTCATCTGCACATAAACAACTGCAAGGTTTCTAAAAAATACTCAAATTGTGTACGTATGACTGTTTTTCTTTGCATACAGAAAAGAAAAAAAAAAGCCACCACATTATTCTCTTGCCTTCAGCTTTCCCTGGACTATACAAAAAATGGAAGATGCAGAGCACTTAGCAGGACTGAACCTTTTTCATTCAATACCAAGCTGGGAACACCTCAGTCACACTGCTAAAGAATGTCCCTTTGGGTATATGGAAAACTTTTAGCAGGCAGTTAAACTGTTACATGAAAAGTTCTCTGAAAAGCAAAACTGTGTTCAAATTTGGAAAACTAGTAAGCTGAATGAGTGGACATTCTAATGGTGTGGGGATATGATTGAGTGTTGTAGGTTATCCACTTATAAAGATGAGAAAGACAAAACATTAAACATGTACTTTTCTGTGTTTTTATTCTATTTTTGAAGACTGCAAAACACAGAGCAAGCAGCTTGTTGTACATTCCCCAGCTGTAAGCTTTGCTTCACAGCCTCTGACTCTAGCACCATCGCCATGGCCATTAGCATGTAAACACACACACACCCAAAACCAGCTTTGCTTCTGGTACCACTGCTCCTGTTTGGGTATGGAACCTCTGTTAGCTAGTGCTGTACCCCAAAAGACAGCATCTACTTATTATCACAGTCAAGCTTGTTCCCAGACAATCCAGGCTTTCACCTGAAATACAATTCCCTGAAATACGTTGAGAGATGTTTAATGATGTCAGCTCTCCTTAACTACTGTCCTCTCAGGACATAGCTTGCTTTGACAACTGTCTCCATCCCTCTGCACATTACCTGTGCAGATAACATGGTAGCAGTGGCTTTCTTATGGAGAACTTGGACATTTTTCAAAGATGTGGTGATGTCAAATGAAAAAAAGGTCAAAAGTGTGTGTATTCTGGACACATTAGAAATTACACAAACTTGGAACAGAAGGATATGATAGAGCAAACCATGAATGTTAGAAGAAAAAGGAGAAAGAGGAAAACTCCAAAAAGCCAAATTCAGCATATATTTTTTAATTGATTCCTCAGACAGCTTGAAAGAAGGGAATACAAAACACCCACTGAAAGACAAGAAATCCTATCAATTAAAAGGGCCACTGTGGGGACCTGAGATTCAAGAATAGCAGATCATGGCCTGGTCATGTCTTTCTTTTAAAAAGCAGACCCCAAAATCAAACTTTTTCTTGAAATTATGTTACACCGTGACAGATTTTTAAAATAAATCACAAAAAGTATACAACTTTCCACAAAACAGAATTAAAGGTTGTCCTTGAAATGTCCGTATTCCTTTCTCATCATTAAAAGGATTAAAGTGTGTTTTCTGTTTTCAAATCTCTCAAGACTTAGAGACCATACGTTTGATTTGGTAAAATTGAACATTGCTCACAGTACAAATACCTGAAGGGGAAACAGAGTGAAGATGCAGCAGATTTACAGCTACACTCAATCTGGAAGGCATATAATCCAAATGTTATGTAAACATAATGAAAGAAACATTTTCAGCAAACTTGTAAACATTCTTACAAAAGGATCAAAAATCTGAAAGGAAGAGAAGTTATCTCTGTTGTGGCTTTGACTTCTCAGAGTTTATTTGTCAAAGTCTGAAATTCTTTCTAAGTGTTTTATGCAAACGTGTAAAACATAGCACGAGTCGTGAGAAAACAAATCTGGATTGTCTGTTCTTGTTTTCCTTCATGACTCTTTTCTTTCGAAACAGGCATTGTTTGTCCTCCACATCCTGCAGTATTTTAGCTCAGGACAGACTAATCCCAACCATTAATTACCATGCAGTAATTGGATCTGTGTGAAGGAGTTTGGGTGTTCATTGCCTCCACGAAAGAGTGATTAATAATGCAAAGAAGATCAGAAAGTTACAAAAGTGTGGTTATTGCTACTTGTTTGACAAGACTGAGGGTTATGAGCACGCAGGAGGTGTTGTAAGTGGTGGGTGTGGCCTTGCAAGCTTGGTCGCTGCCATCCCTGGAAGTCCCCAAAGCCAGGCATCCCAGAAGGCAGAGATGGGGCTGAAGTGGATGAATTTTATGAGATGGATGGCATCTTCCAGACTGTTTGATCTTTATGGGGTGCTGGGCTGCCCTGACCTGTTTCTGTTTGATTGGTGTAGTGAGGTGCTAAGCAATGTTCTCACATAATTTAGTTGATTTGCTCAGTGTGCTACGTTCTTGAGATTAAACATGAAGCATATGTGCCAGATTACTAAAAATGCCAAAAGCTGGGCTGTAAGTAGAAAGATTGCTGTAGCTTTAGTTTAGGTCCAAGCTCTCTGTTCTACAAAATGACCCACTGGCTCTGTGTGGGGTTGGTAACTATGATGCCCATTTACCAGTCTCCTACAAGGGCCTTGCTAACATTACATCCTGGTTGGTCTCCGCAGCCACATGGAGAAGGTTCATCAGCACTGTGACATCTGTCCGTGTCTTGAATACTGTGCACAGTTTTGGGCACCAGAATAAAAGAAACATATTAAACCATTAGAGAGCATCCAAAGGAGGGCAACGAGGATGGTGAAGGGTCTGGAGGGGAAGCCGCATAAGGAGTGGCTGCGGCCACTTGGTCTGTTCAGCCCTGAGGAGACTGAGGGGAGGCCTCATTGCAGCCTGCAATATCCTCCTGAGGGGAAGAGGAGGGGCAGGCACTGATCTCTTCTCTGTGGTGACCAGTGACAGGACCCAAGGGAATGGCCTGAAGTTGTGTCAGGGAACGTTTAGGTTGGGTATTAGAAAAAGGTTCTTCCCCCAGAGGATGGTTGGGCATTGGAACAGGCTCCCCAGGGAAGTGGTCACAGCACCAAGCCTGACAGAGTTCAAGTGTTTGTACGATACTCTCAGGCACATGGTGTGACCCTTGGGGATGGTCCTGTGCGGGGTCAGGAGTTGGACATTGATGATCCTTGTGGGTCCCTTCCAACTCGGAATATTCTGTGATTCTGTGTCCTCAGTTGTGGAATTGTCTTAATTTCAATGATGCTAACAGGTTGTTAGAGCAGCACAGACCAACCCTGTCTGCTCTCGCCAGCCTGGATGGAGCTGGGGACCGGCATATCCCCCAAAACCAATCCTCGCGATGGGAACACACCCTGCTCGCGGTGGCCCCTGATGGCGGGCCCTGTGTCCTGCCCGGGGACTACAACTCCCGGCATGCAGTGCAGCCCGACCTCCCTCCGCCCCGCCCGTACTACATCTCCCGGCGTGCGGCGGCGCGCGGGGCCTGCTGGGCCGGGCCAGGCCGTTGCACGTGGTGCCCTGCCCGCGGCCGGGGAGGTGCCGCGGTTTGCGACGTTGGTTTGCGGCAGCGCGGGCGGGCGCGGCCCCGAGAGTCCGCCCGGGCAGCGGCACCGGCGGAGCCGCGGAGCGGGGCAGGCGGCGGAGGAGGGAAGGAGCGCCGGGGCTCGGGGCGCGGAGCGAAGTGAGCAGCCCCGCCGCTGAATGTTCCGCGGGGCGACGCAGGGGCCTCCTCCTCCTTCTCCTGCTGCTGCTGCCGCCGCCCGGTGTGCGCGGCGGTGCGGGGCGCGGCTGCCGGGGGTGGCGGCGGCGGGTCACGGCGGGCGCCCAAGATGGACTATGATTTCAAGGTGAAGCTGACCGGGGAGCGCGAGCGGGTGGAGGACCTGTTCGAGTACGAGGGCTGCAAGGTGGGCAGGGGCACCTACGGGCACGTCTACAAAGCCAAGCGCAAGGACGGGTGAGTAAGTGGGAGAGGGGGCGAGGAGCGTCCGTGCCCTCCTGCCCCGGGCCACCCCCTGTGTGCTCCCCCCGTGTCCCCCCCCCGCCTTCTGGGCTATGCCGCCCTTTCCCCGGCCCTGTCCGATCCCTGCCCGGGAACCCCGCGCTATCCCGGCCGGCCGGTGCCTGGCTCCCCTGGGTCACTCCGGGAGTCTGCAGCCCCTCAGCGCGGTGACGGGGTCTGCTTGCAGCACGGGTGGGTTTGGGGAGAAAGATTTTAGTGGCCGGGGAAAACCCTTCGTTTGATGGGTTTTCATTGTGAGTAAATGAGTGGCGGCGTACACTGTTAAGCCTGACTACCGGCTCCATAGAACGGGTTTTTTTTGTTTGTTTTGCTGTTTCTTTTTCTTTAAACAATGCTGGTTTTTATGATTTATTACTTGTAGTCACCATTTTGGGTCTTCTTGCTGGCTGCTTTAGAAGCCAAAGTCTGCTCGTGCTTTTGGAGGCTTTAGAATGCTTTAAATCATCCTTTGTGCATGACCAGTTCTCGGTGCAGACCTGAGTAAATTATTTTTCTTGGCATAAACGTTTTCAAGAAAGACCTAGCAAACTGTCATTTAGGTTTCCGTCGTCCGTGACATGGCATCACTTGCTGAACGGTGGAACAATAGGAAGTAGGGAGTAGGAGAAACAGGAGAAGCACGGGTTGTTCCTGTAGAAGGTTCCTAAATTTTAAATTACGTTCATTCTTTCTGTTACAGTCTCATTGCAGTGGTGCTCTGTATGCTGTCATTGAAATAAGGTGTATTTTAAAAGTCTGGGTATTATTTTTACATTCCATAAATAAAAAAAGTACTTTTAAAGTAGGCAGTGGTCAGTCATGGCCAAAATATGATCCAGTCATGTTTACATAAGCTTTAGTTCTAGAAAGAAATGCTTTAGCCATTACCTATAGAATGATTGTAATGCGACTGATTACACCTTATCTTGTCTGTGTCTTAAACCGGTTGATTTTAATTGCAGCACAGCATGAATTTTGTTTAGTGGTATGAGTCAAGTAGCTACTTTTTTATACAACTCTTATATTTGCATCCTTCAAACTGTTCATAGGAGAAGTTCTCAACTTGCCCGAATTCTTTTGATTCTGGGAGGGCAAGAGGAAAAAACCAATTGTGACTGTGATAAGCTATTGCCTCAAGTCTCCTCACATGCAGGTACTAATATTGCTGGTACAGCTAGCCCTGGTTTCTGTGCTGATAAGGAGATCTGTAATATGAAAAATAGATTGAGGTACTGAAAGGTATGGCCACATTTCTAATGTTTGTGTCAGGCTCTCTGCGACTGTTCAGCATGGTGGACTGCCGCTATGTGTAGGAAATTCAGCATGTCATACTGCTGAAGCACATAACCAGACATAATTTTGGTGAAACTATCAGTCTGCTTAATGTTGTTTGGGAGAGGATGTTTAGAGTTGCTGGTGGTAGTGCCATTTTGAGAAATTTTAGGAAAAAAAAGGCATTGTTTGCTTTAAAAATGGATAGTTACTCGGGTGGCTTTATCCTAGGATGTATATGATTTTAAATCCTCTCTTGTTGGTGAGTGGGGAAATCAAAAGTTGCAAAAAAAAAAAAGGTGGGCAACATGTATTGTCTCCATTTTTCTTTGCCTTATTGTTAATTTAGTGCCTCGTTTACAATCCCTTTCCCTGGTACTTCTCATTTGCCTTTCTGATTTCTGAAAACTTTTTCTTTTAAGTATGCTGTATAATTGCCCTTGGACAGTCATTAAAATTTGTAAAATAGGAACATATATAGATGCATTTGTAGCTTGTAATATACTTGTACATATGTGATCTTAAATTATAAGGGTGGAATTAGGATTGAAGTTGAAGGTTTCATTTCATACCTTTAGTTAAAGGGAATCAATTAAATTGATGAAGCAAATGTGAAATAACAGTTTTCGTGAAGCTATGGTAATATATACATGGGTGTTATGTCTTTCAGCAGGGAGTATCTGAAACAGATTTCAATGTTTGCATGTTGTTACATGCAAATATTGAAAAAATATTCTCGCATTGTTGTAGTATTCCCCAAATGGTAAGTAGTGATCGATCAATAACCCATTTTTAATTGTTTCTAATATCTATACAGCTCAAACCTTCTTTTTTATGTTTCCCTTGAGCTTACAAGTATGCTTTCAACTTTGTTACATGGTTCTAATTCTCACTTCAAATAGCACAAATATTTCAAGTCTTTTGATACACAGTGTAATTTTTAGAGTACTTTGAAGAGCGGGCTGCAGGACTGCAAATATTTTGTTAACAATATTGGTGCAGCTTTTTCTTAAATGACATCTTTTACTATGGATGTCTAGTGAATAGAAGGAACACAGAAAAGAAGTAAATTTTAGGAATTCAGTTTGTGCGAATGTGTATTCTAAAGCCCTTGGAGATAAAAATACAATTCAAGAGTACTAGGAGCAGTGTCTGTAGTACGACTGCAGTCTTCACCTCCTTTTTTTATTTTATTGCTTTTACAGCTGCCTCTGAGGTGCAGTATGGCAATTGAAAACTAGATAGCAGCTGTGTGTCCTAATTGTAGGAAGTTAATTTTATGCCATTGGATCGACACAGAAACATTTTGGAGGATGGTCCTATAGGAATCTTGATGGAGTGAGAATCCTTCTAATGAGTGCAAAGTATGTGCTCTAATGACCCAGTGACAGTGTAACCTGGATTTCATGCCTTGCTCCAGCAGAAAAGCCTTGAAGTGCCCTTTGACAAAAGGTGAGGGTTGGGGTCTCACCTGGTCTTTCTTGAGGATCACCAGGTAGAGCTCCATGGGGGTTCCTCACATATTAGCTGCCAAACTTGACCCAGCTGAACACTGAATCACCCGAGTGTCAGGCATCACAACTGAGCTCTACTTGGTGCACTGCCTGCAGCAAAATTGTATTCTCAAGTTTTTATTTTAATCCTTCTTATTTTAAGTCTGTGGTCTATGTGGTTGCATCTTCCTGGCTTTTTATTGAGTGGTGCTGTCTTTTTCATCAGTGCCGTACCTGCAGTGGGCTCTAAAACCTGCTTAGAACAAACTCTGTGAATTCATGGGCTTTAATTTTTTAGCAGAAAGGTGTACAAGAAGACAATCAACTCTAAAGGCAGACACTGGGAAGGAATTGCAGGCATGGTGTGTTGAACATCAGTCTTCAGATAAAGGAACTGTTGCTCATCTCTCGTGGTGGTAGGATAGTTTACCTTTTTTTTCCCCCCCAGAAAATGTCAGTTATTTCCTGCATAAAGGCTGCTTAGCATGCCATTTGGGTGCTCCCTCAGGACCATTGCTGAACCCGGATATTAAACCTACCTATTTGAGTTATGCTGGACTTGGAAAACATGCCAGCAGTTTTTGATTAGTGGACTAACATACACATTTTTATTTATCTATTTATTTTTTTTTATTGACTAGATAAAGCACCTTTAAAGCTCACTAGAAGCCAAATGCCAGGTATGGGCAGACTGAGGTGGCAGGACATTGGGGGCTGCTTGTGTAAACCTGGTGGCCCAGCTTGGGCAGCACACCAGGTACATGCTCTCCTGGAACTGGAACCATATGCTGAGTGTGTGATAATGTCAAAGTGGTGCTCAGTTTTAATAGGATTGATCTTGCACTGCTTTCGTTGCTCTCAGTTTTTATGATACAGTGACAGAAATCTGAGAGAGAGGCCTATTCTGTGGAGCAAGGCTGTCTGTTTCAGTGGCAATTTGGAGTGTTTCCAAATATTCATTTTTCCTGTTTATCGGATGTGGTTTGGATGAGAATAAGAAATTCTTGAATGTCACTGTTAGGCAGCATCTCGATTTTTAATTATGACAGCAAAAAAATTATATAATTGAAAGTATTGAACTGTAACATCCTCTAGTGCTCTATTGAAGGCTTTTCCTACTCTCTGGGAAAGACGCTTAAGTTGTGAGACTGGTGGGGAACCAACAGTAAGCAAACTAGTGCTCTCCTAGTCACTTTCAAACTCTCAAGAACTGTGAGAAGTGATCTTGGTCCCAAACACCAGTGGAGTTGGAGATTTTATATTTTTTTTTTTTATATTTCAGCTATTACAGTTCTGTGTTGAAAGCATTGCTATAGGTGAGGGGAACATTCTTTCATTTGAACATACTGACACATTGTAATTGACATTATGAAAATATATTTATGTGCTGACTGGCACGCTTCAAACAATCAAATCTAATCTACTTTTTTTTTTTTAACTTTGAGGATCTGTATGCATTGTAAAAAACCCAGAATGGTGGAAAAGTAGATGTCCAGTAAATTACTGGGTTACTTATTTTCCAATATAACATGTCATAGTTTCTACTTACCGGTTAAAAGGATATTGCAAGAATGATGAATGTCTCTTAAAAACTTTTGTATAAAGAGAAACTTTGAGAAACTAGAGATGGGGAGTATTTATCTGAAAAAATAGAAGGCAGAACGTGTTTAAGTTAGATAAAATAATGAATGGATTGGTTAATGTACAAGAAGCTTGTGCTATTCTTGTTTCACAGTATTTGAAGAGTGGGGACATGGAATTTTTTTGAAAATAATAAGGAAATATTTTAATGCAGTGTAGATAAGCTGTGTGACCTGTTGTCAAAGGAAAAAGATAAGAGCTTAGTGTCTGTTCTGAAATGTTATCAGAACCAGTCACTTCTGCCTAACTGTTGTAACATGTTTAATGTTCTTCTGCTGTAGAAGTTAAGCTGTTCAGTTAGAGAGCAAGCCAAACTCTGCAACGCATGCAGAAGAACCCACTTTGGTTTATTTAAGTAATTCTGAGTTTTGGTGTCTTTTGTTTAAACACTTCAAAACACTTTCCGGCCCTTCATAAGGTTGTTAGCAATTAGTTGCAGTTTGTCTGTATTTGTGGGTATGTATTGATGGAGTTACATCAAATAATATTATTTTGTCAAGGTTTATATCAAACTGATTTTTAATGAGAGTTTCATTGAGTTTGGGAGTG